CAGACCTCCGTGTTTAATCAGGAGCAAAAGAGAGGAAGTTTAGGAAGATTAATGTGTCTGGTGGGCTTTCTAATGCACTTACAGAGATGGCTGAATTAAGAAGCAAAGTCGTCAAATCAAACTAGAGAGCAAAATGCTTGCGCCAAATGTCATTAGTGACAGCAGACGCAAGGATTACAGTGCAACAATAAACAAACTGTCTGCTTTTTTTGTAAAACTAACAAACCCATCCAGATAAGTCGCGTGATTTTACGCAGCTCCTCACAGTAAAATTCTGTCTGAGCATCCTATCAAACTTTCTACTTACCACTTAATTGCTGTGTATGCACCGCACTTATCTACTTTTGCTCATTAAAGGAAACAACCAATATTATATGGATTCGTTGGTATATACCCTGACACTGCATAACCGGTTTCACTCTCGTCTGGCACTTTGAGCAAGATTTTAGCTAACACTTTCTGTGCTACAGGCCGTATCTATTATTTGCGAGACCAAGAGCGGATTAGTGGATGAGAAATTCAGCTCACAACATTAAGATTATCGGTTCGAACCTCTTTCTGAGTATTTACGACTAATGAGTCCAAACAAGGACAAATTAAGATAAGACACGATTGAGAACACTAAGTGCCTCGGCTGGATTCTAACTATCAGCAGAAACAGCATGTGTGATAAGGTAAGCGCTGCATCAGCTGAGTTATAAAGTCACGTCGAAAGGTGAGAAATTTCACATTCGAACTCAATTACTCGCCTAATCCGGCTTCGTAGCTCAGCTGTTAGAGTAGGTTACCGCATTCGGTCCGGTGTTTCTGTCGTTTGTTCGAATCCAGCCGAAGCCCAGATTTTTTACAGTTGAGTCTCATCTGACTTCTAAAATCTGCCACACTACTTATAAGTATAAATCAGTCATGAAGTGCTACGTTTTGATGGTAGGCATCGTGAAACGTCAAACTTCACCAAAGGTGGATTATCAGAAAGTTAGCAAGTCACAAACAGAAAACCAAACTTTACGATAAAGAATGTTATAAAAATTACTCTATGATTTATAAAGCTGTAACTAGCAACTAAATAAACAAACGTACATCCTCATTAGAGAAAGGATTGGCTATCTTGCCAGCTCCATTTCAGATTAACTTTATTGTCATGATGAAACAGCGCTTGCAACCACAGCCTTTAGTCTGATAAAATTCTTAGAACTGGTGTACGAATCTAATTTATACAACCATTTGAATTCCAAACAACTGATTGTATAATAGTTTATACAACTCTTCCAAACTGGTGAACACTTAGACGAATGTGGCTTCCTCATCGTGGCAACCATGTTTCTGTTCTGTGTAAACACGAGTGAAAATGACCGGAAATCAAAAGTTTATGAAAACACGCCAAACTTCATTGTTTAACGCTCCAAAAATTAAAATACACATAATTTGCATTAACTCCACTGTATTATGTGTGGGCGTGCAAAAGAACAGGCAGATTTATTTAGTGTAACTAACTAAATGTTAAAAGCAACTGATGGAAAATAATGAAAACTTTGCAATGCTTTCTCAATGTACATCAAGTTTTATTATGTTAAGTACGTTCTCAATATACTTCCGTTGTGAACCAAAGACGCGGATGGTACGAGGGTTATGCGTTTCAACAAGACACAAACAAAAACACTCATCTGTGTACGGTACTGGGCCCAGACCGTCACGGCTGCCACAGACGTCAATGCTTAGTTCCTTTACGTTCCCTTACGTACCAAGAACCATTTCATGCGATGCTGCACTCCAACGTTTCTTCTTGTATTTTTCCTGCGGCTACTTCGATGTCAAAATATATGCTCTGGTTCCACTACTGAATAGCAGTGGTGTGAGTAGTATAGCATGATCGCTCTCCTCACTACACTTATTGTGTAACTCAAGTTTTCTCAATATGACTAACTGCACTTGCATGCGTGTGAGGACATAGGCAGAGTGACTACGATTTATCCTGTCGGAATGATAGCCAGACTCAGAAAATATGTGCGCAAATAATTTATCTGTTCCAAGAAAGCTGAACTGGCAGTTTAAATAAACAAAGATCCAGCTGTCATTTCACCGCTGTGTCGCAGGTCTTTTTTCTTACTCTGTCAACACCTGCAAAACGCATCTGTCCGAGATTCTTTTGTTCTACTGCTATGTCCCGACAAGTGGTGTGTATTCAGTAGTCAGATGTATCTCAAAAAGTGGTTTTTAACAAATTAGTTTTCAGTTATTGGGTCTTATCAAACACCATTCGGAACGGGATGTGTTTTGGGCCTGACTGACTACCAGTGTTCTACCAGCCTTCAGTACAAGCCATAAGGTCCCCTTCTGGACGTGTATCATTCGATACCATTAAATTTTATGTTAACTGGTGTAGTATCACATCCTTAGGTTCTTTTATTCTTGTGTGGAAAAGTTTTAATCACAAATTTTGTTTTAAGAACTTATCACACGTTCTTATTTGACTTTGCACTAAAGCAAATTTGTCTGTGGAACTTGGAGGTGACCACTGTGATAAACCACCCGAAGAAGCTATTACTCGCTCTGAGTCTTTTCAGTATAACCGCTGGAATCTGGTGATTTTAAATTCCTCAGCTACTTCGATATCCTCAAGTCACACGAATACGACTTGGTCATCTTCCTCTGGATGCCGACAGTTGTGCGAAACATCACTTGATCTGCCGACCATTTTTTTTAAAAAATTGTTTGGTGACACCAATGAGTTATGTGGCACATTCATGTCAGCTTGTTGTAACCTAATCGAAGTCCAGATTTGGCTACACATGAGTCTTCAGAATTGGGCGATAGTGTAATCTATATCTGCTGAACCAAACTGGTATTGAGTATTCGCGACGCAAGACCTCACAGTGTGGTCGGCAAACATTATATTTCGGAGAATGTTCTTTTAGATCAAACATTTACTCACTGATTGGCAGTAGAGGATTCATTTGTTTATAAGTTAGACATCACTCACAAATGCTTGTATCTGTTGGCATCCTAATATACTTCCCAGTCAGTTCCTTTCAAAAAGAAGCACTATACTCGAGTTTCACTCTGGCAAAGTTCGTCAGTAGTACATATACTTGTCACGGCCATGACTAGAAAGCCTACTGGAATGCAACACCAGCGACCAATTGTGAATGATGTTCAGTTTTAATCTGCACATTTTGTTTTGAAAGGATGGGTCCAAGTGTTTTCTCATGAAGTGACATTAATTTAATCGCCACCGTTTTACGCCAATTGTTTGGCTAATTATATGCATCATGTTTTAAGAGTCGAGCTTGAACGATGGGAACATGAAGCATGGTTTACATCAATAGGCATATATCGGCGACGCAATATGAACGAATAACCACCCTTCAATACAACTGGAATGCAACACAGCCAATGCCAATGCATTGGACTAACCATTCACGCTACCGGTTTGATAGCAGTTCGGTCGTTAGGAGGCACTGTCATTGAATTTTATGCCATCAATTGACAAATAGGGCAACACGTATAGCTGCCGCGAACTGACAGATGAGGGTGAGGATGAATGAGAACGGTACTGTGGATCTGCGTGCATCTGACATCAGAGAAGTGGATACGATTTGATCACGCGTTTGTAAACGCCCCACAATATTGCTGGCTGGATACGAAGACAGTTAGATCTCAGATGCATCGAACGTGAATAGGTTAGGTAATCAACAGTGAAGACTCCAGTTCAAAGGATTAATAGGGTCTTCCGAATAACCTGGAAAAGGTTTATAGACCACTGAGAACTACGAATGACTTCAT